ACTACATTTTCCGTGTCTGTAACATAACAGTAAAGTCCTATACTGTAACATTTACGAGCAATTTAGGCAACTAGTAATTCGCGTATTTAAGGTAAAGAGGAAGATTCTTTGCACTTTTAAAACAGTGGTTCTCACTAAAAACGAAAGAGGAAAAGAAATGAAGATTAAAGCAAACAAGGATATCAAAGAAAGCCGAGTAGAAACAAAAAAGAAAAAGCGTACTTCAGAATTTTAAGGTTTTTTCTTGTGAATAACGAAAAATCTGCGATATTTTTTACAGCCATAGTTCACCTGTGGTTTTACAGTTATATTTCCAGTTGGTTGCTACATAAAAGCTTCTAGAGTAACCAGTTGATTTTTAACACTTTGTCATTCTTCCCAAGTTACTTACTATACATCACTTTCGTTGTACTTACCACGCAGCTCCGTATTCATTTTTGTGATTTTGTGACATTTTTTTTTCTAGCAGATCATTTTACCTTGTATTTGAAAACTATTTTATGCATATGCACAAGCCAGTATTGCAAAGGTCCGATTGACCGAGGTTGGTAATTCCACAAATGATGCCGAAGACTAATAATAACCTTAAGTTAAACATTGCGAAAAAGTCCCATTGAGAACGGAATTTCTTATGTTACTAAAGGAGAGAAAAAGAAGAGTTCAACAAAACAACCATCTCCAAACCAATTTCTCCCTCCTCCGTTACAGTAATGGTAATTTGATATGCAAAAATCAAAAGTATAATCAAAGCGTCTTTCAAATGCAATAAAAGTGATATTCAGTTTACGTGTAAGAGCCGTTAACAATTTAATTACCGACCAAAATAAATCCAATGCTGATAGTTGAAATTAAAAACACTTTTTATTACAATAAATAATGTGCCCAAATGAGTGCCATTCTGGTAAAATTCATGTGAAAGATTTGCTTGGCGTTTATGGCATTTTCAATCCACAGTTAGCAGTAATTAGTTCAGTTTTCTAATGCAAAAACTATAGTTTAATAGTACCTTAATTACTGCACTAAAAAGAGCAAAAATTTTTGATGGTAAAAAAAAAAAGAGCATTCTGTCGATAAACTGATCTTCAAATAGAAATTAACAACTGTCCTTACCACAGTTAAAACGCTTTCAACAAGCGGCTCACAAAATAAACATTAACTTTTTATATAAAAGCCATCAATACTTTAATTACCAACCAAAATAAATTTCAGAACTGATAATAAAGATTAAAAACATTTTTATCATGTTTTAATTTTATGCTGAGCTCAGACAAAACGCTAAAAGTTTAACAAGGTAAGAACGACTTTTCCTCCATAGATACAGTGCAAACTCTTCTCTTCTTCA